ATGTGGAAGCATGTGGAAGCCTCCGGTGATCAAACGCGGCAATGGGAAATTTCCGAAGTAAATGGAGGTGTTAGTTCCGGACAATCATCTATCGGTGGATTTTCCAGCCAAAAATGATCTGATTACCAGAGACGAAATCCCAAATCCATCCAATTCCAGTGGTTAAATCCTCATGAAATCATCACTTAAATTGGTTAAATTAAAACTCCCCATGAAATCCATATTTACAGTCGGCTCCTCAAAGGATTGTATCCGAGTTCTCTGTGGCATTGCAGATGAGCCACCTGGCAGACCTGGCAGCGATGAACATTTGGCATTTCCAGTAACGATCCTTTGAAAAAAACAATGATCTCTTAGTAACCCCAGTGATAAATAGATTAAATGGGAAAAGTATGGATAAGATTGGATAAGTAGAGTTCATCCATTTATAACTGGTGTGGTTTTCCTTCTATCTTTTCGCACGACTTCCAGTTTAACAAAACGTTCTATGACCGCTTCAAAGTGACATTTCCCTAGAAAGTGGTTGGTCAACAGCCCACAAAGCCCACAAGGTTTCAAAGTCCATTTCCCTCAGCTACTGGCTATTTCTCAACGAAGCATCATCCGCTTTCCTGGATCAGGACCAAGGATGCAAGTGATACTCTAACCACTATTAGTTAGACCATGTTAGACCTATAACATGCGCCAAACAGAGACAATAACAAGAAATATTCAGATTAATATCAATATCTGTAGAAATCATTCTTCTGGGTCTTTGCCGGTCAGTTCGCAACGGTCGGCAACGCTTGGTGTAGGAAAAAGCGGTATGGGCCTCTCGAGTTGGCTCCGACCTTGGAATGTGGGAAAGCCTCTGACACTTTGAATCTTCCACATCCCCTTGATCCACTGGGTTTTGTGCCGTTTCCTGTTGCTGAAGCATCCGTCCCTCAAAAAAAAGCATCTGAAGGATTCCAAAATTGTATCAGTCGCTTCTGATATACTTCCCATGTTACTGGGGGTTCCAAGATTGGAGGGTTACCTTGATGACGTGTTCTGTGATGCGTTCGACCCCGTTGGTTTTACGCCCCCCCTCCAACTGACAAAGACTCCGCCATACCACCGGGGGCTGGAAAACGACGGCTGCAGCCGACTACTTTTCCACTTTTCCCTCGTTCTGAATCTTCACAGGGGGAATGGTAATTCATCAAATTTAGAACACCCAGAAAAATTGATGGTTGGACATTCAAAAAAAATCGAATCACCATCAATCACCATCAAGCATCGCATCAATCACGCAGCAGCAAA